AGGAACACAATGGCAACACAGCTAAAATCAGCTGCTAGCTCGCTGTGAGCAGACATTTATTTCTAGCATGCTGGAAACGCTACATGCTGAATACAATTCAATGCATAATATCCCCAACATGCAGCCCCCAGCGTTCCATCATAGACAATAGAACACTAATCCGATAATAAACTTGCGCCGAATAGATGCAAACATTTGGGAAAACTGTGTGAAACCGTGTCGTATTCAAATAACTTTTTTGAAGAACACATACGATTTTCAGGTAAATTGGTGGTGTCATATGATTAAGGGAGAGTCATAGACGAAAACAAGGTAAAGTTTGAATATATTTATTCACTTATTCAGGGTTTCTTCTGAGGGAAAATTAGACAAAGGAGGTAATTTCCAGTTTGGGAAAAAAACGTGCATGATGGATTCAAATACAGGATGTATTGATATACTTATAGGTATATAGATACAGGATATACTTATCAGTAAATACAGGAACATTTTCACAACGGCGATGTTAGATTTGACAACGGCGGTGCGCCACTGTGCCTCTTATGTATAAGAAACCCTGTTATTGATAGAATATTTACAAGTTAAAAACTATGCAAAACGCTGTTAAAACGGTGTCATACTCTTCTCTATTATGAGCTCTTGATATTAACAATAACGCATATGCTTATTTTGAAGATTCATGGCGCGGTTGCACGTCTGCCAAATTTTCTTTGGACATTTGCTGAAAAAATTTGGTAATTCCGCGAGGCCGTGCTCTGGAACAAACTAGTTAGTATATAGTATAATTTTTAGGGAGTCACATTGACTCTTGCATATGTCAAATCAGGGAGTCCGGCAGTAAATCAGGCAGTATTTGACTCCGGACTCGCGTTAATTTCGCACCCTGCTGTGTTAATTGCGTGACCTGCAGCAAAATTCACCTTGAAGGCTTTAGCTTTCGGCAGCTTCGTGCTCAACGCTATTTTACCCATCTTCTTCTTTTGTTTTTTCTGAAGGTCTTGCTGTTTTTTATCCATCTTCTGCTTCTTCACCTTCTCCATCAGTTTGTCTGCCTTCTGATGTAGAGCAGCATCAGAGGATGCAGTTTTCCCTCCCATCACTGCCATAGTAGCACCTATATGTAAACAGAGAAGGTCAATCCTGGCAAGTCTCACCTTCATTCTTTGTGGTACATGTGACATGGTACAGTACACTGTGAGTGCGATGTGACAGCAACACATGCAGGTGCTTAGTAAAAACTGACGTCTATGGCATTTATTTTTAACTGCCCTCGGTCAGCAATCTACAGCGATGCACGCACCTACATTGTATCATTAGACCTACTGAATCGAAATGTATCCTAACTGTTACTGTAGCTACACTGAACATAATCATTAATTATCAAGTGTCTAAACGACCGGACACGGTTTCGGAGTCTTGAAAACTAAACAACCGGCTCTCTTCTCTGATTGTTCAGTTTCCGAACATAACAGGACAAATATATAATAGGACAATGTTTAATGCAAAACATAAAGAAATATATTTAATTCTAAACATAAACAAAATTTACAGAACAAATAAATGCAGAAACAAATAAAATACAAAGAAATACACAAAGCAGAGCAAAATAAAAACATCTTATGGGGTTCGAACACGGTCAATTACTATCAGTATCAGTATCACAAAGCAAAAGCTCTACCGCTGAGCCACTCAGACCTACTTGAAAGTAGTGGATATAGACCCGAACCCTAATCCTAACCCTATCCCTAATTCTAAAATAAAATAAAATTAGCCAAAAATAATAAAAAATAAAATAAACAAGTGACAAAATTAGCCAATCAGAGAAGAGAGCCGGTTGTTTAGTTTTCAGGACTGCGAAACCCGATCCGGTTGTTTAGACACTTCCATCATTAACACTATTACTGTATGCAGTACTAGTACTAGTAGTAGTGTGTTACCGACTACCGTAATTACGCGTGCCAGTGCAGTGGCAGTAGTTACGTTAACAGACTACAGTCTGCAGCAGGGAAAAGGTGCATGGCTATGTCGTACCCAATCTTGGAATCTGCACAATCTCGAAGGTGTATGGCTATGTCGTACCCAAACTTGGAATCTGCACAATCTCGAGATTGTGCAGCGATTGTGCTGCCCAAACTGCGGATTCCCTAGTTTTGCTGACCAATTTCAAGATTGGGCAAACTGATAACAGTCGGTGATTCAACAACCGCTCATAGCGAGTGTGTGGTGTGCGTGGTGCAAACTAAGAAGAGATTTATCTCATATTTATCCAATTATTTATTATAATCATTTAATATTTATACAAAGGTGCCAAACACATTAAGGAAAGAAGGTATACGACATTATAGTTGTGATATAACATTTGAAATCCTAATAATCATATGTTTGTGCAAGCTCTGTTTACCTCTGTTTGCTCAATCTCAAGATTGGTTGGCCAAACTGCGGCTGAGAGGGTCTATGTCCCCCGGGGTACTACCGGAACGTACCCTGGTACTATCTAATATGCCGTACCGTACCTCGCCTACTCCACTAACGAGTCTAGGTAGTCGCCTACGCCTACTCGCTAACCCTAACCCGAACCCTAATCCTAACCTTAATCCTAACCCTAACCATTTCAAATAGTGACCAGGGTACGTTCCGGTATACCGGACCGTACCCAGGGTACGTTGCGGCAGTACCCTGGGGGACATAGAGTCTAGACCCTATGAGCCAAACTGCGGATGCGCTGAAATTCCAAGTTTCAAATTCAAATTCAAATTCAAATT